AGAAAAAAGATTATTAAACAGAAAAGTTCTGTAGTCTTTAACAATACATGCCTCAATAATCTCTCTCTCTCTATATATATATATAGAGTCTTAAGGTGTGCTATATTTATGGGATAAAGTGCTCAATATAAGAGATAGAGCATGTGTAAATATAAAAGTGAACATAGAAGTCTACATTTAGAGGAGACAGTCTGTTTCATGTTAGACACAATCGTCAAGTAAATTTTATATATACACACACACACACACACACACACACACACACACACAAAATGCTGAAATGATTTCTTGGTTTTCCAGAAGTCATCTTTTATTATATTGAACAGAAAATAATTTCCCTGAAAATCATTCACATATTATATGACTTATTACAAAATCTTTTAGAATAACCATAAAACTAAAACAAATGGAATACACCATTCCCAGTAGAAATTATAATCATGCAAATATTAAAGACAAATTCTAATTCAGGGCATTTATTTTTTTAAAACTGAGACCAAAATCCAGTTAAGCATCAAAGAAGAACTTGTCAATGAACTTTTGAACCAGAAGAAATTAACTTCAGACAGAAAAGACATTAAAAGGTTAACCATTCCATTTTTTTTTAACTCCAATTCTTTTTAACGACGATGTAAAGACAGACAATGTGACACTTCAACTTTTACCAAATATGACAAGAATGAAATCAATGATGAGTGACAAAGGGAAAGAATGTTGACATTTAATGGTCAGTAATTACAGGAAAAACTAGTTTCAAGAATTATGGTAGAATCTGTAAACCAAGATTCCAAGAACAAAAATCTGGATGCAGACAATGCCAGAGAGAAGTCACCCAGTGTGAAGATATCATAGAAAAAAAGAAAATGATCATTCATTCATTTACACAACCTGAATGTAATTGTCAATAAAAAAAAAAGGAGTGTACAATAGCAAAACCATCAATTTTGGATGAGAATAATAGGAGAAAGTATTGAAAGGTTTTTAGACCAACCCACAACCCAAAATCTGAGCCAATGGACAAAATTTTCTTTTTTTTTCTTAAGAAAGTGATTTTTGTCTTGGTTAATTTAAAAGCCAAAAACATTATTTTGTAATGATCATAACTTTCAAGAAGAAATAAAATATTACAAAAACTTTTGTCAAATGTGTTAACGAGAAAGCAAAGAGAAAAGAAAATAGAAAGCAGGTGAATTTGTTTACGCAACAATTCGAACAAATATTTGATAAAAATACTTCTTGTGATCAAAATCCTGTTGACAAAATTAACTCTGAAAATCCTGCATGGATTTTTTAAAAAAATCATTTTACCCCAAGCAAGACTATAAAGCCACGAAGATGCAAGACATTACTGACTGTTAGATAATATGAGAAAAATATACTATTAAGAAGAAAGGACAATAAAAGAACAATCATTAAGAAGACATAAGATAATGATTCACATTGCATTCAAATTTTTGAAAATCAAAGATGACTGGAAAGTAAGAAGCTAGAACAAAGTTCCACAAGTGAGAAGTGTGAAAAAAGAAACTGTTAGCTAGAACTTACAGTTGCATCTAGCTGTAAAATGATGAAAGCTAGCTGTCAATCTAGTAATGCACTTAAATTCCTAAAGTCTAGGAACCATAAAGGAAAGTCTTTCAGAACAATTACCATGAAAATATTTATAGAAAAGGCACAGGGAAGCTGAATATGAGATGCCAGGTCAGGACCAATAACATTGCAGATTCTTCTTTGGATTTTATCAAGAATCTCTAAATATAACGGAAGTAGCTGTAAGACAGGTGTAAGATTCGATTAACAAAAATAAATGAATAAATAAAATAGCATTAGTCAGACCTGTCAAGTAGGAAGCACATTTTCTATATCCTGATCACATTTCGTAGATCAAGGTGCTTTTTGGTGGGGTCATTTATATCCACTGGCTTTTGACTCCTTTGTAGCATTGAAACAAACATAGTTTTTGGCTGAGCCAGCATGAGATTTATTGGCCAAGATATTGTGATCAGTAGGTTGCTGTATTTGTGGCTTAATTTTTGTGCAGTTCTCTGGAAAATTTTTGATCGCTAAGAGCTGCTATAATTAATCATCTTGTTCACTTTTCTTGCCATTTTTTCTTCTTTCTTTAGTCTAAGTGTCACATGACAGCAGCAGACCAAGACTGTCCTACTTTTTGTATAAGAAAGCATTAGAACATCTGGAGGGATCTTGGATTTTACTAGCATCATTCAGTCTTAGTCTAAATAAGAATATTTTTTTCTTCTGATGCAAACAAATTATCATTCTGAATTTTTTGGAGAAACTTTTCTTCAGGTAACCAAATTACAGAAAAACATCAAATTCTTAATTTTTTAAAAAACAGTTATCAGACACTGGCAAAAGATCTTTAATTATCAAGTTGAATTCATTGAACTATTTGCAATGTTTAACCATCATCCCCGTTAAAAAAAAGAAAAAAAAAAATGATATTCCAAAAGGATGGTGATTCCAAATCTCTTTTTTATTGTTGCTCACAGCTATATCTGTTCCTTCAGAACCCTTCCTTCCTTTTTGTGACACATATTCATCTATCTGTTCAGTTACTCAATTCTTTCTTGTTGCGCTTGCCTTTCATGTGTCTTGCAGGGTTTATATTCTTTCAAGCCTTTCTTTCCTGAGGATAGAGCCCAAAAATTTCACCTGACATTCTCATTGTTAACAAGAGCTTTGGCAAACTTGCACTGTTATGCATGCACAAAAAAACAGTGTGACAAAAGAACTTTTTTTTCCCATTGAAACTGCTCTTATTTTAACTACCTTCACTTCTCAGCAATGTTTATTCTTTAAAAAGCAATGATTAGAATTGTAATAAAACCTAAATATAAGAAAAGGGACTTTATACATTTTCTTTGTTCTTGAAAATTGACAGCAAAAATAATAAACACTATATTGTAACCTATTGAAGGTTACTGAATAGAATAATCACCCGAAGGTTGGTAGTGAATGATAATACATAGGACAAGAACAACATATATAAGATTCACCAGTGGTGCTAGAAGTAGTAGTCAACTACTAGAAGTGAGTCAAATGAATTCCACAATGAATCTCCAACTGCAGATCAACATAAAGTATTTACTATTGTATTTATATGAATGGGGATATGCACATTATTGTTTGTAGATATGCTACAACACAGAGTAACTCATGACTACATTACTGAAATATGCTATTCACCTTATTTCTCACACTTATCCTCCTGTGAATGTTGGATATTTCCACAGCTGAAAAATTCCTTGAAAGGTCACAGATTTGCTGACATCCTTGATGTAGAGTGTTGTAACCTAGGGGAGGTTACTGAACAGAATAATCACACAAAGGTTTGGTAATAAACAATAATACTTAGGACACAAACAACACATATAGGATTCGTCAGCAACATGTAGAAGTAGTAGTCAACTGCCAGAAGTGATTCAAGTGAATACCACAATGAATCTCCAACTGCAGACCAACATACAGTATTTACTACTATATTTATGTGAATAGAGACATTCCCATTATCACCCGTAGGTATGCTACAACACACTATTTATTAAATTGTTTATTGGAACGGTTGGCAAGACATCAGCAAATTGCCAACTGATTAAACATTATAAAATGGTAAATAATAAGGATTTCCTTATAATTGGTTCACATATTTTAAAAATTTATTAAATGTATGTATAAATGTATGAATAAAAAATTATTTTCATATTTCTTTATAAATTTGTAAATGATAAACATTGAATTGTATTAGTTTTTAGTATGTCGTAAATATTAAATTATTCTTGTAAATAAACAATAAGTAAATAGTATTTAATATTCTTTTTATAAATTGTCAAGAAAAAATGTATAGATTCACTTTCTTCATTTGTTTTGGTTTTATTCCAATTCCAATAATCACTTTTAAAACAATAAACATTGCCAAAGATAGAAGAGTGTTAAAATAACAATGGTGTCAATGGAAAAACAGGCCTTTTGACGTACAGTTTTTCTTAAAAGGTCCGTTTTTGCCACAGTTTCTTTGTCCTTCCTATTCTGCTTAACTTACCTCATTAGTCACATGCCCCATCTATAGTTGGTCAGTCAGTCATCAATCTCAGTCAAAATCATTGAATCCACAACCCTGTGAAGCAGTTAATCATCAACTCTGTAGTCCTTTCCATTGCCATATAATATGCCCATGACCAGGGGTTTTCCCTAGATTGGATCCCAACCACAGCTAGACAATCTGTCCTGCTATTTTATTCAGAGAAAGGAGAAGAGATGGATTCTTACATTTCCCAAGGATATTTGTGCAAAAGTGAATGTTATGAACCCTACTTGAATTTGAACCTGGTTCATCAATTTTGTCATTCCTAGCTGCTAACCAATGAACTATCTGTGCAGTGTGTCTGTGGTCTTCTCAACATTTTTAGTAGATCCAAATATCAGTTGCTTCAAGTCTTTAATACTTAACTAAAATTCCCCTTTCAAATATCCCCTACATAAACCACTTTTTTATATAGTGAATATTTTAAAACCCTCTGAACTCTGGTTATATAAATCAATACAAAGTTGCTTCTTCAAGCTGACATAAGATTTCAGTTAGAATTATAGAATTCAATGTTGTCGCTTCAAGTATTTTGGAATTGGTGGGTCAGGAACAAGAAAAGCCGTTTAAAAAGAAATATAAGGTAACAATTATTTTGTATTGCAAAGATTTTTTTTTCTGAATGTGAAATGGTCCATTCTCTCCTTTAAGCGCTGCATCTATTTCAAAATGAATTGGTAACATTTGTTTGGGTTGCCAACAAGTGTTATTGAAAAATCTAGGGTATTTGCCTTTGGTTGCGAAAGTAGAGATTAAAAAAGAAATCCTACACTTCTTTAATGTAAATATTTTTTGGGGAAAAAAAGAAGAATCCAAAAGTGTAAAAGAAGAATGTGTGGAAGAGAGATTAAAGGAAGGAAGAAAGGAAAATGAGATGGAGAAGGAGAATGATAAATTAGAAAGGAGGAGGAGAAAAACCGAGTGGTGAATGTGAAGAAAAATTAAAGAAGAAGAAGAAATGTGAAAGAGCAATAAAAAGAGAAACAAGTAGGAAAGTGAGGAGGAGAGCAAGAGATATAGAGTAAAATAGAGCAAGAGAGAGTAAGAGAGGAGGAGAGAGAGAGAAAAACAGAGGAGGACAGAGCAAGAGAGAAAGAGAAAAGGAGAGTGAGAGAGTGAATAAGAGAGGAGGAGAGCAAGAGAGTGAATAAGAGAGGAGGAGAGCAAGAGAGTGAATAAGAGAGGAGGAGAGCAAGAGAGTGAATAAGAGAGGAGGAGAGCTAGAGGGTGAATAAGAGAGGAGGAGAGCTAGAGGGTGAATAAGAGAGGAGGAGAGCTAGAGATATAGAGTAAAATAGAGCAAGAGAGAGTAAGAGAGGAGGAGAGAGAGAAAAACAGAGGAGGACAGAGCAAGAGAGAAAGAGAAAAGGAGAGCAAGAGAGTGAATAAGAGAGGAGGAGAGCAAGAGAGTGAATAAGAGAGGAGGAGAGCAAGAGAGTGAATAAGAGAGGAGGAGAGCAAGAGAGTGAACAAGAGAGGAGGAGAGCAAGAGAGTGAATAAGAGAGGAGGAGAGCAAGAGAGTGAATAAGAGAGGAGGAGAGCAAGAGAGTGAATAAGAGAGGAGGAGGGAGAGTGAATAAGAGAGAGGAGAGCTAGAGAGTGAACAAGAGAGGAGGAGAGCTAGAGGGGTAACAAGAGAGGAGGAGAGCTAGAGGGTGAACAAGAGAGAGGAGAGAGAGGGTGAATAAGAGAGGAGGAGAGTAAGTAAGAGAGAGTAAAAAAGGATGAACAAGAGAAAGTAAAAGAGGAGGATAACAAGAGAGAGTAAAAAGAAAAGAAAGAAAGAGATAGTAAAAGAGGAAGAGAGCAAGAGAGAGTAAAAGAGGAAGAGAGCAAGAGAGAGTAAAAGAGGAAGAGAGCAAGAGAGAGTAAAAGAGTGAAAGAGTAAAAAGATGGTAACGGATGGGTAATTCAAGAGAAAATAAAAAAACAGCGAGAGTGAATGAGAGAGAGACTGTGGACAGCAAAAGGCAAACCTAATGGAGAGTACATAATATCCCAAAATATTAAGAATATGTATGTCTATTTGCTAAGTCTATCTTGTCTGGCACAAGGCCATAATTAATGATGTACTCACTGCAGATTAATTTTCACTAGAATACTAATAGTTTGAGACAGTAGATTGCTAACAACTGCTCTTTAGTATTAATTAAAATAAACAACGATTATGAGAGAAAAGAAAAGTTGAATATTGCAAAAGGTTTATAAAGTTGAAAGAAAATAAAAAATGTAATCGAAAGGTGAATTTGGTCACTGGTGATGTGCAGCTAAGCATCGAAACTGCAGAGAAAAAGAAGAGAAAGGAGGAGAGAGCATCCACCAGATTAGGAAAAGGTGGAGGGTGTTAAACAGGTGAAAGAACATAAGGAATGTGGCGGAGTGCTGGGGAGAATAATGGTCAAAAGAGGTTTTCTGAGGGAGAACAAAGAAAGCAGGGATGAATAAAGAAAAAGAAAAAAAAATGAAAAAAAAAAAAAGAAGCCATATAGGGTGGGTGATATGGTCCAATCTGTAAAATGATATAGGTACAACTGATTCATATCAGAGCTCTGCTTTTTGGCAGCATTTTATGAATGTTACACATACAAAGAGTAACCAGCATGCAGTCTCGTCACTACAAAGAGCTTCCACTTGACTTAAAAGAAAGATACCGAAGAAAGGAATGAGGAAAAAAAGCTGGAAAATCATAATCAGATTCACAGAAAAAAAAAGAAACAGAATAAAATAGAAATAGCTCACATGGAATGATTTTCTGAAAATAAAAGGCTAACACAAAGAAATGGCTGATACAACCAAAGATAAAACATTCAATAACAGAGCCAGACTAAAAGAGCAAAAGGAATTTAATGCCCAAACTATTATTATTATTATTACCAAAATTATGCTTTCTGAGTGTTCCTAATTTTTCCTTGTGAACTCTGGTCACTGAACAGTTCAAGTATAACTCTTCATGTAAGTTGTTTTTATTATCAATACTTCACCCGGTAAGAGGCTCGAGAGCCACTCAAAGTGAATAGCTACAGTAGAAATGGTAATGATGAATGAGGTTGTGTGATATGAATGAAGAAGAAGGTGGTATGAAGTGAGGATAAGGAGGATAGATAATGATTGATGCTTGACTTGAAATGGTCAAGATTAATGCGTTTAACGAAGCATCAATGGAGGTATTTATTACACAATGCGAAAGTTCTTGGAAAAACAGTGTCTGAGTGGAACTTTCTTCTTCTATTTGGCCCATTGAGAAAATGAGGATGATTCAGCACAATGGTCTGAGCTGGTGGAACTAAAGACTGGGATTCATCTGAATATTTAACATGGAAAAATTAAGAGAGCAGTAACAGGTTTGCAATGTTGTATCTGTGGGGAAAGGGGTGGTAGGGTGGCAACCAAGTCATCACCCCCTACGCTAAAAACCATTTTGAACTCAATAAAGGCTGGAAAGACATTTCTGACCTGTTTTTTGCAAAGATAAAATCTAGAAGATGGATTTAGATACCATTTCTACAGTATCTGTCTATATTTCTGAGATGAGGTATTATGTACATTATTTACATTATTCGGACTATTGTCCTCATCTTTGTCGCCATATTTATTACACCGTTTTGGCCAATGTAAACTCCGGCCTTCTCCAACCACATGAAGAAGGCTGGAACATACAACAGCCGAAACATTGTAATAAATATGGCGACAAAGATGAGGACAATAGTCCGAATAATGTAAATAATGGATCATTTCTACAGCCTTTTTAGCAATAGATTGTATGTGTGAGTTCCACGAGAGGTTTCAAAGGAAGCTGAGACCAAATAGATGTTCAAAGAATGAAGAGTGCAAATGAATAGGGAGATTCTGAGACTAAACGGTGGTGGTTCAATCTCAGTTGATGTTAGTTGCAACCTGAGATGTGAAAGAGTGATGACTGCACATGTAATTTGCAAAACCATCCCAAAAGAACAATTTTCTTGCTACAGAAATGCTAATAAAAGATCAACAATAGAAGTATGGTCAGCTCCCTGTACCACTCCAGTAAGTACCTGACTCTGCACAATATCTTTTACCTTTACAAGAGCCTGATCAGCCCTAAAATCGAGTATTGCTGTCATTTTTTTTTTTTGTAGGAGCTGCCCAGTCTTGATAGAGTCCAAAAGCATTTCTAAGTCCTTGTGGGTGATGAATTTTTTTTTTTGCCCCCTCCAACCTCCCTTTCACAGGCGAGATGTGGCAAGCCCCTCACTGCTCTATCACTACTTTGATGGAAAGTGTTTGGATGAACTACATCCCTTAGTTTCACCAAGGCTAACCTTCACAGCTATGTTATGCCACTTACATGGTAGCAAACCATCTACATTCCCTCTGTGTTCCATTGGTGAGAAGTAAGTTCCATTCGAAAAGCTTCTTCCTGTGAACCACTGCTCTTTGGAAACGGGAAACAACTCCCAAGAAGATGCTTTCTGTGATCACTACAATCTTAACCTGTTCAAATCTAGGGTTAACAGTTATCTTCTCATCTTATCCAAATAAACTGCCTCTTGGTGTAACCCTCTACCTCAACTGACACCTGGAGTTTGTACAGAGTGAACCCCACTGTAAAAAAAAAAATGTCTGGTATTTTTTTTTCTATTTTAAAGATTCCTGATCCAGTGGAGTAAAAAATATGACTTTCTATAATCCAGAAAATCAATTAGCCTTATATCAACCAGGATGCTCAACATTGGGATATAGAATGTCTGGTCTTGGAACAGCCAAGGTAAAAGTAAGGACAGTCAGAAAACCAAACACCAGAAAGCTGCTTAGGAGTCAGTCAATGAAAAGTACTCAAGAAAGATTTCTTGTCAACAGCCTTTACTCCAGGTGTTGCCTAGCCCTCACCCTACCTGGTGGGGTCGTCTTGATCTAACATTGCCTTCTTCTAGCTTGGCTGGTGATCGTTAGTCAGTTTTGGTTTCGAGATAAAGAACATCAACACAAGGAATTTTAAACTTAACTACTTTATTAAACATATCAATGTGTACATTTCTAAATATTAAATTTCCAGTGGGGTTGCTCTCTCACCCCACTAGGAAAGTGCTTCCCTGACATGAAGGAAAAATGTCTACATTGTATTACAGTTTAGAAATAACCTCTCAAAAAACCTTTTTCTATCTATCATTCCCATGCTAGTTCAGCCAATCAAAATCGACTTCCTTTATTTTGTCTTGTATCTGACCCATAAGGTCAAACTGAAAAAGTCAGAGCAGAAATACCCTTCTCTAAGAAAAAAATAATAGTCTGCTAAACTATTACTTAACACAGGTAGAGTGGAAGACATTTATTCTGTAGATTTGGGGTAATGATATTTATCTTTCCATAAGAGCAAAATATGTAACAAAGTTGATTTTAATATGGGAAGTCTCACATGTACATGTGGCGGTAGGTTTCAGTTCCCTTACTACTGCTTTTTGACATGCCACACATCAGAGAATGCAACCTGAGATAAACTGGATGGTAAATTAAAACAAGATGGTATACTTTTGTGTGTTACAGAAAATCTTGGGTTAAGTCTAAAACAAATCCCATTTTGAATGTTCTCATAAATTTGTTAAAAGTTCCATAATATTAAGAATATGACAAATAGATTTTTAGTATAAACAGGGTGAGTATGAATATCAATTCATATATTTTAGTCATTTGGGTCAATATAACCAGAAGGCAATGGAAGAATATATTAGAACATTCCATTCGTCCATAATTTAAGAATTTAATGAAAATATCATTCTAAAAAATAATTCACTTCTATAAAACAAAAACAAAAATTCACTTCTATAAAACAATAAAAACAATCAATTTTAACAAGTTGTTGACCTTAAAAATAAATAACTTGAAGTTTCCTTACCAGAAGTCCAATGGCAGTCAGACTAACATTTAGCTCCTGACTTTGCAATCCAAATTTAGATGCCACTTCCACACACACCAAAAGATATTTGCATGGAATCATAGGTAGAAAATCTGTGACAACTAATTGCAGACTCATGAAAGAATTCTGGACAAGTTTCTCACTGAAAAAAAAAAAATCAAAAACAAAATAAAATGATAGAAAAAGATTTAATAGTTTTTTTTCTTATTGAATTTATTCTATGGCAGTCAATTAAAATTGTCAGAAATAGTTTCCTTATTAAACATAAGTATTTTTTTAGGTATTTTAGTACAAAAATGTCAGCAACGTGTAACATTCATACCTGCAAAAAAAGAAAAAAAGTAGGTCAAAAGACAGCTTTATCTCTTGTCACTGCTATTATTGTATACTCTCTCAGCAATTTTCACTGTTTTAAAAAGCTATTTCCAGAATTTTAATAAAACGAAAACATATGATATTGGAATTATGCAATCTCTTTTTCTTTAACAATTGATACCAAAAATATTAAACACAATTTTATTAGATCGTTCATTTACTAGAATAAATTTTTATTTACCAGTTTATGAAAATATGGAACCAACTACAATGCAACATTTACCAATTGCCATTTATTATTAAAGAAATAAATATTATTAAAGTATTAAGTATTATTTAAGGAATAGATATTATTAAAGAATTAAGTATCATTAAAGGAATAAATATTGTGAAAGTATTAAGTATTATTAAAGGAATAAATATTATTAAAGAATTAAGTATTATTAAAAGAATAAATATTATGAAAGAATTAAGTATTATTAAAGAAATAAACATTATTAAAGGAATAAATATTATTAAAGATTTAAGTATTATTAAAAGAATAAATATAATTAAAGTATTAAGCATTATGACAGGAATAAATATTGTTAGGAATTAAGTATTATTAAAGGAAAAAAATTTATAAAAAATATTAAGTATAATTAAATAAATAAATATTATTAAAGAATTTAGTATCATTAAAGGAATAAATATTATTAAAGAATTGAGTATCATTTAAGGAATAAATATTATTAAAGAATTGAGTATCATTTAAAGGAATAAATATTATTAAAAAAATTAAGTATTATTTAAGGAATAAATATTATTAAAGAATTAAGTATTATTTAAGGAATAAATATTATTAAAGTATTAAGTATTATTTAAGGAATAAATATTATAAAAGTATTAAGTATTATTTAAGGAATAAATATTATTAAAGAATTAAGTATTATTTAAGGAATAAATATTATTAAAGAATTAAGTATTATTTAAGGAATAAATATTATAAAAGTATTAAGTATTATTTAAGGAATAAATATTATTAAAGAATTAAGTATTATTTAAGGAATAAATATTATAAAAAAATTAAGTATTATTTAAGGAATAAATATTATAAAAGAATTAAGTATTATTAAAGAAATAAATATTATTAAAGAAATAAATATATTCTTATTCATAAATTCGTAAAAATGCTTGAAAACCCCAAAATATAAAAATAAACAAATAATGACAAGTGTAATTATTAATTTTGAAAAAATGTATTTTCTAGATATTTCTTTTATTTGCTCTTGTGACATCAATCAACTGAAACAGGTTGCAAACATTCTGGATTTAAATTTATTTTTCTCAAGAACTGACAACAAAAAATGTTAAATTTATTTATTTATTTATTCTGGAGGCACAGTGAAATAATTGATAGCAGCTCAGATTGAGAAATCGGAGAGCCGAGTTTGAATTCAAATCGAGTTCATTAAATTCACTTAGGTGCTAATATCTTTAGGTAAGGTTATGAATCGATCTCTTTTCTTGTCATCTATGGGTAAAATAGCAGGACACACTGGGTTCTATAGCCTTGGATGGCAAACAGATCATGAAGAAGAACAACTTTGAATTTAGACCCATGTCTTCTTAAGAGTCCTACTTCTTTTGGCAAAAGCTAAAAGAAGGTAACTTCAAAAACAAATCCACCTTGCATGTCATCTTGAAAAAAAGAACTGACCCCCTCCTACTTAGAACTGCAACAGAAAATAATGGATGACTCATGCTTAGCATAATGTTTCAAACAAACACAAGACTGGCACAGGGTATGGCATAGTGGAGCTCTCTGATTTCAGACCATTCGCTCATGGGTGTATCACCTACAACCCTTTAAACAATGGTGATTTATTTATTAAATTGTTTAATTACAAGAATAGTTTTTAATAATTTTGGTGTTAGTTTTCAAGAAAAAAGAGAATACATAAAAATCCAGTTTCACATGTTTGGGTTTTATTAAAATTCTAAAAATATCTTTTCAAAACAATAAATATTGCTGAGGGAGTATACAGCAACAGCAGAGACACACCATTTTTTTTTTCTTTTGTTTTTTTTTTTAAACTTTACCAAGATGTCAATATTTTCTTCAAAATTTATTGCTGGTAATATTTTTTTACAAAAACACATTGCTGGTATTAAAACCTATTTTTACACTTTTGGAGTTAATTATTTGCCCATAGCTTGGACCCTAAAAGGTTCTACCACCCTGGGTCAGGGTGGATCTGGTAGCACCAGCAATTAAGAGGTGATTACATGCTCCTCAAAGCCTCCTGATCAGAGGCGTTGCTGTTGGATGTAGTATATCGTCTAACCCAGGACATGAATGCACTTTATCGTCTTACCTAGGATGGGTTGAAATATTTGAAAGAAATAAACAAACAAGAGAATAAACAAAATGAGACAGAATTTATCCTATCAGGAAATTTTAGTACAGAGAATTTTCAAGGATAGTTCCTAAAAGAAAGTGTAAATTAAAGGAATGTTCTAGGATAATTTCATATGTTTGGGTTTTATCAAAATTCTAAAAATATCTTTTTAAAACAGTAAAAATTGCTGCAATAGCAGTGCCACGCCATTTTTTTTTTTTTTTTGTGAGTATGTTTGTTAAACTTTGCCAAGATGTCAATATTAAATCATGGCATTTGAAAATCAGCTGAATTGAAGAAGAAATGGAAAAAAAATTCTTTCAAAATCTTAAGCTTAAACGTTATTATCAAGATGAAGATTTTATGAAAATGGCACAAACCAAATCAATTGTTTATGACTAATATTAATTTCTATTTTTTTGTGAAATTAGATATAGCAATCAGTTCAAACTACTTCATAATTTAACTGAGAAAAATTAAATTTATTCTAAAATAACAACTGACTGATCTTTCCTTCTTTCTGTATGCATGTGTTTTTTATTCATGAAGAATTAATGAAAAGAAAATATTGAAGAGAATAAAAAAACATTGTATGAAGTGTCATACTTATTTGTGTGAATGCATGTATGAGGAAAATGGGGAAAGCATATGCCTTCATCCATCAAAGCACAGGAGAGAATTTCTAAGTGAATATTATTTAAGAGAAAAATTCTTAAAATATGTTATATTGAATATTCCAAAGATAGTTCACCTTTCAATGAAAATTACCTTTTGGCTTTCTAGCCTGCACTTACCAAAGTGGTGACATATCATTGCCAGTACAAAAAAGCGGATTATGACAAAGAAAAGCATAACAAGTTCAGTCTCATGGAAGATTATTGATTAAAAAAAAATTCTTTAAAGGATACAACTATTACCTCATGATGGTTGGAGAATACATTGACCAAAATTTAACCTATAGATATGGAAATAATAGTGATTCATGCCTTTTCCAAAAAAGAAAAAAAAAAGAAAAAAGTGAACACAAATTGGCTCAACCTGAATTTGAACTTGTATTACCAATTTCATTTTCTGACTGGGTTTGCTCAATAGAGCAAAAAGTGGACATTTATTGTTTTTGAGCCTCTTGAATGATTTCCAGCTTCATGATGGAACTTTAATGCTTCCATCTATTACAGGACAGATAAGAATTCTAAGTTAATATTATTTAAAAGAAAAATTCTTATAATAATTTATATTTAATGTTCCAATGAAAGTCTTGCACAGATTATCTTTCAATGAAAATTACCTTCTGATTTCTAGTCTTCACTTACCAATTTGGAAACCTTTCATTTCTGGTCCAAAGGAATAGATGATATCAAAGAATATCTGAGTTCAATCCCGCAGAAGGTTATTGATTAAAATAATGATAAAATGTAATCAGTGAAATAAAGTTTCCCAATAAAAAAAGAAAATCCCTTAAGAGATAGAATTTAACCTGATGAAAGTCGGAGAATAGATTAGCCAAAATATTGAGCTAAAAACAACATAAGCCTAGATATTAATCCAAATAACTCCTTAAGCCATGGATATGTTTAATTTGTTGATCTTTTGTTAAAAATAATATTTAATGACAAAAGCTAAGGTGATTTTCTATGTGTAGCTTAGAAGTGGAACAAGTCCAAAAATAGAGGGTACCCAATGAGTATCAAAATCACTATTCAGTCGTAGTTGATCTAGTGAAACAAGCTTGGTAACTATTATACAATACTGAACTGATTGATTTGTTTGTTTAATGGCATATCAACTTCTTATCAGTCATTTAATGCCAGAATTTAATTTTCTTGGGAGCTTTGAAATAATAAAAATATGATATACATTATTCTGCTTTCACAGTTGAATACATGGTAGATGATACTCAGCTTTTGTGCATATACATGTTTGTGTGGACATAATTACTAGAGGCAGTGTTATGTGTGTTTTATGTTGTAGTCTTGTTGAAGTTATATTTTAGAATACAATTTGATTTCTTGTAAGAAATTGTAGGAAATTATATGGATTAATGTCATGAAAGAATTATTCATGTTTCTTGTTTGGTTTAGCTGCATATCAACCTCTACAATTTATTTAATGCCAAAATCTAAATATTTTGAAGGCAATTGTATGCCTTTAATTTCAGATAAAATGTATTGATGGTCATTTTATTATATAAAAATGTATTTCTGATATTTTTACTATAAAAATGTATTTGAGGGTTCACAATTTGCCCATATCTGGGACCCTAACAGATGCTACCACTCTGGGTCATCCTGGACCTGGCAACAACAGGTGAGGTGGTTCCAGGCTCCTCAAAACATCCAATCTCCCAATCGGTGGCCTTTCTGCTGGATGTAATCATGTTGAAACTGTGGAAACATTCTTTCCCTTAAAAATATTCAGTTTTTATTGGCTTTGTCTTTAAAATAAT